GGGCACATGCCATATTGCCTGGCACAGAGCCTGTCCTCAATAAACGAGAAGTGGCATTAATATCATCAGTGTCGTGACTTGTTATCAACAGCCAAGCTGCAAGCAGGCTAACCTGGAAGTTCCTAGCCTGGTCTTCTTCCCAAAGCCAATCATCACTCTTTTTTCTTTTCTTTTCTCTTCTCTTTTCTTTTCTCTTCTCTTCTCTTTTCTTTTCTCTTTCTTTCTTTCTTTCTTTCTTTCTTTCTTTCTTTCTTTCTTTCTTTCTTTCTTTCTTTCTTTTAAATTTTATGTATTTATTCATGAGAGACACAGAGAGAGAGGCAGAGACACAGGCAGAGGGAGAAGCAGGCTCCCTGTGGGGAGCCAAATGGGGGACTCGATCCCAGGACCCAGGATCATGCCCTGAGCTGAAGGCAGACACTCAACCACTGAACCACCCAGGTGCCCCTTTTTTCTTTTTATTTAGTTATTGATTTGAGAGAGAGAGAGAGAGAGAGAGAGAGAGCAGGGGAGGGGCAGAGGAAGAAGGAGAGAATTCCAAGCAGACTCCACACTGAATGCAGAGCCTGCCATGGGGCTCGATCCTATGACCCATGAGATCACGACCTGAGCCAAAACCGAGAGCCAGATGCTCAACTGACTGAGCCATCCAGGCGCCCCCAATCATCACCTTTCTAAGAGGCATGGGGAAAGCAGATTTGGAAATAGTGAGACGTCTGCAGTTTTGACACAATTTGGAGTTCCTGGCCCCACAAGCATCAAGCCCCCAGCTACAAATGTACCCCCTCCCATTTATTGAGTCCTCACTAACTGCTGGGGGCATGCTAAGCACTTAACACATGGGGGGGCTCACCCTCCAAGGTTGATGCTATGGTTGTGTACCCATTTCACAGATGAGGACAACTGAGGCTGAGAGAGGCAAGATGACTTCCCTTGATCACACAGGGAGGAGGGACCAAGCGAGGATTCCAACCCGGGTCTCTCAGGCTGCTCCTCCCCATCTTTGGAGCCCTGATAAGGCTCTTCTTCCCAGAGCCATCCAGGTGTGCTTTGTAGTTGTAACTCTGTCTCAGTTCTTAGACCATCAGTAGAGCAGCTTCCTGCTTCGGCATAGGTTCTTCTATGCCCAAGCTTTGAGTCTTTCTTTCTTTTTTTTTTTTTTTTTTTTTTTTTTTGCTTTGAGTCTTTCATAACCTTTACCCGCCAGTATTTCCCAGTCCAGTAAGAAGGTCTGACCTTCTGATAGATGGGCATAAAGCCAGGATTGGGGGGAGCAGAGGAGAGAGGGCATCAGGGGAAGCTCTGGAAAGAGGGAAGGCCAGACTTGGGTCATTTAAAGATTTTATTTATTTATTTGAGAGAGGAGAGAGACAGCACAAGCAGGGGAAGCAGCAGCAGGAGAGGGAGGCAGGCTCCCTGCTGAGCAGGGAATCCCACCCCCCCCCACCCCACCCCACACCGGGCTCCATCCCAGGACCCTGAGATCATGACCTGAGCAGAAAGAAGACACTTAACTGACTGAGCCACCCAGCTGCCCCAAACGTGGGTCATTTTTAAACAAGTTTTAAAAAAAGCAACTGAACAGGCAATTCAACCACATATAAAAAAATCAAGAGATTTTAAAAAATAAAAACAGATAAAAAATAAAATCCAAGTACTGTAAACGGGTATACACCGAGAATTCAGATTTCTCTCTTGTCCCTGCTGAGGGGCCTCATAGCTAACAGGTTCTTGTGGATCCTCCCAGAAGCTTTCTGTGCATTATACTCGTGTATATTCTCTCCCTTGCACTTTGCTTCTGGTGTCTGACCACGTGTGTCCACATCTGCCCCTCATTCTCTTCCAGCTGCATGGTCTCCTGGTGTGGACCCACCACGGGTTATTTAACCACTCTCTCCCCATGGCGGTCAGGGGATCAGGGGGTCTCCAGGGCTGTCTCCATAGCAACCATCCTGTCACCAACATCCCCTAAAGCATCCCATCCCCCCTTAGCTCCCATGTGAGAGCCCCCCAGAAGGGATAGGTAATAGAGGGGAGTCAGGAAAGGGTTTCCAGGCAGAGTTGCCACATGCCCAGGAGGGATCAACAGGGTCTCCTCCTGAGCCCCTGGCTATGACCCACTTGGGCTGCGGGGAGGGGGTTGTGGGTGGGTAAGCTCTGTGCTGCGTTCAGGTTCTGCAGGCCCCAGGTTCCCTCCCCCGCTCCCACTGGAAAACCTGACACCTGTTCACCAGTGCCAGCTGGCTGGATCTGAGTCCTTTGGTGCCTTCCAGGTCCCATCCCTTGAGAAAAAAGCAACTTTGCTGAATTTATTTTTCCCCCTTTTCTCATAATTGTAGCAAAACCAGGCAGCCAAAGCTGGGAGAATGCTAGTGTCTGATGATCCAGTGGATGAAGGAACCCACTGGAAGCAACAGGCCCTCTCCAAGAAAGATGCACATATGGACACACATATTTTGAAAGAAGCTATGAGGGCAGCCCTGGTGGCTCAGCAGTTTAGTGCCGCCTTCAGCCCAGGGCCTGGTCCTGGAGACCTGGGATCGAGTCCCATGTCTGGCTCCCTGCATAGAGCCTGCTTCTCCGTCTGCCTGTGTCTCTGCCTTTCTCTCTGTGTCTCTCATGAATAAATAAATAAAATCTTAAAAAAAAAAAAAAAGAAAGAAGCTATGAAGAGTCACAAACCCCCATAAGCCTGCCCGTCGACACCTCATTAAGATTGTCCTAGAGTCTGTGTAACACTGATACTGAAGTCCTTTGGTGGCAGAGACCAGGGATAGTGTAAAGGGCACTGTTTCTCAGATGCTCTGAGGTCTAGGGGCAGTAAAAACCTTTGGGAATCAACTTCCACGCCAATGTCCTTATTTTATAAATAAAAACATCTCAGGCAGGAACTGGCCTGAGGACTAGGATCTCCTGCCCGCCTCCCCGGCAGACCTCATTGCTCCTCCTTTCCAGCTGGGCTCACACCCCAGCCCCACCGCCCTCTCAGGTAGCACCGAGCCTTGCCAGCCGCCAGGCCTCCTCGGGCTCGCTGCCAGACTCGGTTCACTGTTCCTTTTCAACTGGCACACAGCTAGCCCGGGTGCACGGCGGCACACAATTTAACCTGGGCATTTAACCTGGGCATTTGCTGGCAGTATTCTGTAACGTCGTTAATTTTGAACCAGAATCCAGCCACTTTTATGACCAGCCATGAAGTATTTCTATCCTGCCAGGGCCTGGAGTTATCAAAGGGTTTTTTTTGTCTACCCCAGATGGCCACACTTCCTGCACATTCGAGCCAGGCGCTTGTGTGTGAATTCTCAACCCTCAGAGGGCAGCCTGGGTGGCTCAGCGGTCTAGCGCTGCCTTGGGCTCAGGGCCTGATCCTGGAGACCCGGGATCGAGTCCCACATCGGGCTCCCTGCATGGAGCCTGCTTCTCCCTCTGCCTCTCTCTGTGTCTCTCATGAATAAATAAATATCTTTAAAAAGGATTAGGGGGATGCCTGGGTGGCTTAGTGGGTAAGCCCCTGCTTTCGGCCCAGGGCGTGACCCTGGAGACCCAGGATCGAGTCCCGCATCCGGCTCCCCGCATGGAGCCTGCTTCTCCCTCTGCCTGTGCCTCTGCCTCTCTCTCTGTGTCTCTCATGAATAAATAAATATTTTTTAAAAAGGGTTAGGACTCTCCTCCTAACCCTTTGGGCTGTGGGCAGTTGTTATCAGTGTTTGCCAAGTAAGGAAACCGAGGCAGGGGGAGGTAAGAAGTTTTGCCAGGTGTCGGCTGACCCTCTGTGGTGGCGGAGGTGGGGGGATCCGAATCAGGCAGGCGGGCTGCGCGGTCTCTTTGCTGGATTGCGACCCCCGTGGAGTTCAGGCTGCCCCCCTCCCGTGCACCCCCCCCACCAGTCTCCGCCACAGGTGCACGGGCCCCGCGGGGGAGGGAGACGCGGGGGGCGGCGGCGAGCCGGGCGGGGTTCCTCCTGCAGGGGGCGCGCGGAGCTCGGGGCCAGGTGTGCCCGCCAAGGCGGCCTCGGCGGTGCGGGCCCGCGAGGTGGGCGGTGTCCCCTGGGCCCCGGCTGGGCGCTCCCCCGCTGCGCCCCAGGGGCCTGGAAGCCCCGCCCCGCCGGTGGCCCCGCCCCGGGAAGGTAAGCGCCACCTTCTCCGGAGCCGCCCCGGGAGCCGCGGACCGCGGGCGCCCCGCCCCCCGCGAGTAGGGACCGCGCCGCGGCCGCCGCTCCGCACTAGGGGCCCGCGCGCCGCCCGCTCACCTGCGCCGCCCCCGGTGCCCCGGTGCCCCCGGCGCCGCTCCCGCCAGCGCCACCATGAACTCGCTCTTCAGGAAGAGAAACAAAGGCAAATACAGCCCCACGGTGCAGACGCGGAGGTGAGGGGCGCGGGCGGGGGGACCCGAGCCCCGGCTGGGTCCCCTGCACGGCGCACGACCGAGCTGCAAGGAGGGGACCTCCGCTTCCCGGGGCCGCCCGGCGCCGGGGCTCTCCTGGGCCGGAGCCCGCCGGGGCGGGGGCAGCGGGCGCGGGAGGACGACCCCCGAGGCAGGGGCGCCCCGCCCGGGGGCTCAGGGCGGGAGGGAAGCGGGGCGGAGCGCGCGCAGGTGCTCCCCGCTCGCTGGGGCCGCGCCGCGCCGGGGTCCCCGTGCCACCTGCGGCCCCCGGTAGCTGCCGCCCTGCCTTCCGGAGCTCCGCCAGGAACAACCCGCGGGTGTGTGGGGTCGGGGCGGGGGCGCCCCTGTTCCCGCGCCGGGGTTTGCGCGGGGCCCGGGCGTCCTCGGAGCTCCGCGCTGCAGGACTTGCCAGGGCTGCGCCCCACCCCCGGGCCCGGCAGCTGGCCGCGTCTCCGCCGCAGGTTCCCAGGCGGCCTGGGAAGGCGATGACATGTCTCGATGTGTTTGCGTTCACTCGGCGGCGGCCCACGTCCTTTTGATAAGCCTAATGTATTCACTTAATAACCGGTTCAGGGAAGCCTCTTGCAGATGCTGAGATTGAGGGAAGGGGCCGGACTTTGAGTCTCGCAGATATGAGGTGGGGGCTCCTGGCTAGGGAGGGTGCACTTTACGAAGCTTCATTCAGGTGGGAGACTCAGCAAACTGCACTGCCCACCTGCTTGGGAGCATCCACCCTAACGTGGCCTCACGGTGGTCCTCACTCCTGTCCAGGCCCAGAAGAAGGTGAGAAGACCCTGGCCAGGGCTTCCAGCATCGTCCTGTGGTCCAGCCCAGGGAGACCTCTCAGACAGGTGCAGGCAGGCCTGGGCACTCCATTACTGTGAGTTCCAGCTTTTTCCAGAAACTGCACCACCCTGTGGTTTCAGGGTTCCCATCTCCCCTTTGGGCTGTTCGAACCTCAGAGGCATTTATTTTCCCCCTCTAGAGTCCCCCACTCCCCCAGCCTCCCCGGGCTTTCACAACCCCAGAGATTGGGCAGGGCCCTGCATGCTGCTCCTCTGTGGCTGAGTCCAGCTGGCTCTCAAACCTAGCTGGGGTCCCGTCCAGTCCCGGAGCTGTTCCCTGGAGCATTGCACAATCACACACTCTGTGCCAGCCACGGAGGGCTGTTCTGTTCTCTCCCCACCAAGACTCGGGCCCCTCCAGTCCTTTACACATGCACGCACCCACACACCAGGAGATGGGCCAGGCCTCACCCTGCCCTCTGCCTCCCCCATCCCTCCAGACCCCAATCCCTCCAGCTCTCTGTCCTGTTCCTCTAATAGAAGGTTTGGATCTAACAAGGTGGTGATGAGCTCATACGAGCTGGGAGGATCTTGGCTTTCCCAGTAGAGGATAGGAAGGAAGGAATTCCCATCCTTTACAGCTGTGTGGACTCTAAGGGCCTGGGGCGGCAAGGAGTCAGGGTCCTCCCCTTCTCTCTTCCCCTTCCCCCTCCCTGCATAGTTCTGGCCCAAAGCAGCCACCCTCTGTCCTTGGCTGACAGCCATTGATTCCAGATATCAGCTTTGAGGTTTCTTTCTCCAGGAAGACTTCCCAATTCTCTCCCTAGGATGGGATGAGACGCTCTTCCCTTGGGCTCCATGGCCTGGCACAGGCACAGCCCTGAATAGGGCCTAGGTGCTTCCCTACCTGATCTCCCCAGACCAGTGCGTCCCTCCACATCTGCCCCTCAGTGGGGACAAGTTCATAGCCTGGGTTGTGGGCTGGGGGACAGCTTCTTGCTCCATTCTCCCAGCAAGAACCTTTTGAGTGTTACCTGATGCCTAGCACTGTCCTTCTAGCACTACGATGTGGTCACTGGTCATGGGGGCACTGACCCTTGAGAGTTGCTTTTTCATCCTGAGTTTCTTGGGGGCCTCCTTTGTCTAAGGGAGGGTGGGGTTGCCAAGCAAGACACAGCACGACAAGGTGGGTGGGAGCTCCGGGCCCGGAGAGCAGAATGTTTCCCTTCTGATCCTGGCTTTGCCACTGCTGCTGTAGGCAAGTCATGGGCCTCTCCCAGGTCAGCTCCCTCATCTGCAAAGCAGGGACGGTGCAAATCTATCTCCTCCATGGGGTCTTGGTGGGGAGTAAATAAACATGACAGTGGACAGAATGCCCTTAGCATGCAGAAAGTACCCAGATGGAGGGGCAGCATCACTGCCTTCAGCTGAGGGGCCCCAGGACCCAGAAGCCAGGCAGCCACAGAAGAGCCCTCTGTGGAGAAAACTGCCCCTCCCTGTTTGTCAACCTTTTAGCATCTGAAACTGAGGAGGGCCAGGACCCGGTGAACCCCGCTGCTCCTGTCACCCTGGTTCCTAATAACAGGTGTGGGAGCTGATGTTCACACCTGAGCTAATGACAGGGTCAGGCTGATGGTGCAGGTCACTGCGGCTGAGGTTGGGCATCCAGCTCAGCAGGGAAGGTCTGTCCTGAACCACGGCTGAAACTGCAGCCCCTACCAGTTGCCCCTTCCTGATTATGCAGCCTGGGGCGAGCTGCTTGGCCTCTGAGCTGGTGTTTTCGCCTGCGTAGAAAGGGCATAGTTCCTGCCGGATGACATTGTTGGCATGAAAATTGAAATAACACAGGAAAAGAGTTCAGAGTTCTAGGAGGCCTCGATTTACGGTGGCTGCAATGGTTAGAACTATTGAAGAAATGCAGAGAAGTCACTCACCACGCACCTGGGATTGGATTGGATGCCGATGGACAGGCTGTGCACTGTACACCTCCAGGGCTGCCATTCGGGGGGGGGGATGTGGAGGAGACATTGACTACCTCCTTGTACTTGATGGATTTATGCTTAATTACTAGTGGTTACAGGACTGTGTTCTCTGGCTGTAGGACATAGAGCTGGATGGACGAGGTCTCTAGCCCGATGGCTCAGGTGCCATTGTCAGGGGACTGGTCTGCAGTAAGAGCTGTCAGGGTTACGGTGGAGACCTAGGAGGTCAGGCTGGACTTCCTGGGGAGGTATCCGACCTGTCCTGGGGAGGAGTGGAATGGTTAAAATCCAGCTCTGGGGTTGGACTGAATCCTGCCTCCGTTTGGTTTTGGCAAAGAAATCCGACCTCACTGAGCCTCAGCTTCCTCATCTGTAAAATGGGACTAATTTTGCCTTTCTACCCAGACCTGGGTCCCAGTAAGCACCCAGCAGCCTGGCCTCACCTCTCAACCTCACCTCGATTGCATCCTCCAAGAATCACCTCGCCTTAACAGTGCCTCCCTGTGTGAGAGGCAGGGTCCCAAGGCTTTAAGGGCTGGGGAAGGGCTGCGTGGCCTCCTGGAAGCAAGCTGGGGTACCCTGAGCCTCTTGGTGGTTAAGAGCCCAGAGTCTGGTGTCAGCCAGGTGTGAGTTCAAGCCCTCGCTTTGCCCCTCTGGACTGTGTGACCTTGGGCAGGTCACTTAACATCTCTGAGTCTTAGATTCTTCATCTGTGAAGTGGGAGTGATGAGAGCACCGGTGAGGTTGCTGGGTGCGCAGCCCCAGACCTGGTTCACAGTGAGTGCTCGGTAAACCATAGCAGCCAGGACGAGTAGTCACACTAGTAAGGGTAAGGCGAGTACTAAGCCCCGAGCCGACCAGATAGCTGGTCTCCTCTTCCCCGGGTGGGCCAGGAGGCCAGCTGACTCTCATCCATCACCTCAGCATCCAGGTGGCCCCCCTGCAAGCAGACCCAGGGAGACACACCTGCACCCAGGGATCGGTCGGTGACAGCTGGAAAGCCTGAACAGTCTGGGAAGGGCTCTGTCTGCAAGGCCCACCTCCAGCCATATGGGTGACTTGTACTGGAGTCGTCCCCGAGGTCGTTTCTCCAGCACCTACTGTGTGCCCGGCATGGCCATGGGTGCTAGAGTGTCTCATCCTGACGCAGTGCCAACCTGGCCTTAGTGTCTCATTTCACAGATGGTAACACTAAGGCCGAGAGTAAAGGCATTCACCTCAGGCTCATAGCTCACAGGTGGTTGATCCTGGGGGCCCAGGAACCCCTGGGAAGGGCAACTAGGTCTTCCCACCCACACCTGGGTCTCCTCTCCAGGGACTGCCCCAGGCCAGATGGTGGAGTCACTGGCTTTTGTATTCCCTGACTCCGCCCCAGCAACCCTGTCTGCTTCCCCTCTCTCTGGCTTTGCCCTCACTTGCCCAGCCCTTTTCTTGGCAGAGGGAAGGAGACCTGATAAATTAGATTCAGAACAGAACAGCGCGGAACCTTTAGAATGGCTCCTAATGGTGGCGTTTCGAGTATTGTCAGGGGCAATCATCTGGGGACAGGAAGTTTTGGGGGAGAGGCTTAGTCCAATTCATACCATTTAGCCAATGCCCTAAGGAGGGTAAGGGGCACCCAGAGGGCCCTGGCCACCGAGATGGGGGATGGGGGTGGGGAGCTGCCTTTAAGAGCATTTCCAAGGCACCTTGTCAAGAGGGGAGGACCTGGGCTTCCCAGCTCCCTTCTGCTCCAGCCTGCCTGTCCCAGCCTGTCTCTGGAGGGGGAAGCGGGAAATGGCCTTTGGTCTTTGTTCTCCTGCTTTAGGTGGCCCTTCTGTGTTTAAAACCCTTTGGGGGAATCCCTGGGTGGCTCAGCAGTTTAGTGTCTGACTTCAGCCCAGGGCGTGGACCTGGGGTCCCCGGATGGAGTCCCACATCGGGCTCCCTGCATGGAGCCTGCTTCTCCCTCTGCCTGTGTCTCTGCCTCTCTCTGTCTCTCAAGAATGAATAAACAAAATCTTAAAAAAAAAAAAAAAAAAAAAGAATAAACCCCCTTGGGCCTAGGGTGGCAGGCCTCTGGTGCCCCAGGTGGAGCCAGCCCTGCCTGCCGAGCTGGCTGCCCAGGCCCTCTTGCCTGCATACCTGCAGTAGCCTCTTCACAGTTCTTGCTTCCACCCTGACACCTTAGTCCCTTCTCCCCTGGGGCTGCCAGGGAGCTCTTTGTAAAATGCAGATCTGCTCCTGTCCCCTGCTGCTTAACCCTGTGCCAGGGTTGCCTCTGCTCTCAGGCCCTGGTTGCTGCAGCCCTGCACACTGGAATGTGTGCCCCCTACCCTGTCCTTTCCACACTGCATCCAGGCACATGGCCTTCGTCCACACTCTTCCTCCTGCCTGGAATGCTCTTCCCATCCCTCTTGGCTCATTTTTCCTCCTCTTTCTTCGTTGGTCTCTGTTCCTTAGGGAAGCCCTCCCTAACCTCTCGTCTTACGTCTTACCCATCTCCTTGGTCCTTAGCTCAGCAGCCATTTGACTCTGGCCCTTTGGCCAAGTGGGGATGGATGTCTGTCTCCCCCCTAGAGACCGGCTGGTGTAGCTCACATGCTGAACAAATGAATGAATGAGTGAGGGTGATCCATGGGGGATGGCTAGGATTCTTTCCCTCCTTAAACCTCTCACAGAGCACACACGGGTGTGTGCACACGCATGCATTCCGCATTCCGACCAAGAAGGTGGGGGTGGGACAGAATGTGAGCACCTGAACAGAGAGTGCTGCTGACCCCTGACCCCACCCAGCCACCTTCTTCTGTGTGCTCAGTAAACAGGCAGCGATAATGCAGGGTGATGAGTGCTGAGACAGTGGAGGCAGAGGGGCCCTGACCCAGCCCGAGGGCCTCTGGAGGACCAGCAGGAGGTGGGTGGATCAAGGGAGCCCCAAGGGGGATGAGGCGGGGCAGAGGGGGATGAGGCGGGTAGGTGTGCAGCCATGTGCATAACATAAGCCTGAAAAGTCATCAGCGAACAAAGCCAATGAAGGATACGAAGAGTATGTTTATGCACATTTTAAAAAACATTCATTCAAAGCAACATAATGTTTCAGGTTGCAGACATAGGTATGTAGTGAAAACATGAAA